CTTTACATATCTAACTTGAGAGACCCTGAAGCCTGATTTTTTCAAGGCTCTTGGAAAAGCCACAGGTTTTTTCAGTGTTTTGACATTGATTCTGTGGCTTTAAAAAGCTTCAGTCTTGAATTTCAAGTACATAATCATTAGTCATTTTGGAAAATCTTAGCTTAAATACTTATTTATTAAAGGGGAACAGTGACAACAACCCATCAAAGGCAGGCTTATAAAACCATAATAAAGCACTTCCACAAAGAGGTTGATTTCCAAGAGCGTGGTCCACCCAGCAAGCCTGTCCTTATGTCCTTCCTAAGCTGAGAGGCAGGACACACATCTTTGCCAGTGTGTCTTTGAAGCATCATGTCAGGAAGTGACCAGGGACAACTTGGGTGCTTTAGGAGGGCAAGAGCACAAACCCAGGACCTTTTCCTTGGTGCAGTTGCTCTGCCTCCACCTTAGGTCATGTTTTCTCTTGTTTCCAGCATAAGCTCTGTGAGATGGGACGTGCCTCTTGCTTCAAGTCTATACAAGTGCCAGGTGCACGGCTAGAAGAAGCAATCTGTGTACAGGAGAAGTGCCAGCACGACTGGCAGCGCTCAGGGGGTGAGCAGTGGGGCCTTGCTGCTGTGCCTGGAGAGGTTTCATTCCAGTGAAACGTGAGGAGGCTGGCTGTACAAACCTCATGGGCCACATCCTCTGTCCTGCGAGGTGCTCAGGGTCTCGCTGGTGTTATGGCCAGTTTGGCCAAGGAGCAGCTCAGGAGCACAAAACTCAAAGCTGGTTTAGCTGAGCTTGCTCTCTCTGAAGCAAGTCAAAAAATAGCAAAACCAGCAAATATTTCCCCTCCTTCTAAACCTGCTGTGTGGAGTGCTCACTCAGTATTCATTCAAATTTCTCTTTACACACATGAGAGTGTTTCCTAACTCTGGCTCACCAAATGGTGCCCTCAAATTCAAATTACAGTACACTTGAAATCTTGTTAGATCTTCTTATCCATAGCACCTTGTGAGAACTTACAGCATCCAAAACACATTTAGAATTAGAAAAAAACTGGTGAACAAGCTTCCCTACAACCATCTTCAGCTTGTATCCATAGAAATAGAGGCTGGATTGGGAAAAACGCAGTCTGTTATTTTAAATAATCACCATAGAGTGATTACTGTAAAGTATGTGCTTTGTTTTAAGTGCTCTGACACTCATTTCCATAGAAACAGACAGAGGATAGCAACCCACTTGTTTGAACTGTCCTGTACATTCTGTCTGGGGCAGAATGCAGGAATATAAAATGTTTAAAAATGTGGGAAAAGCCTGGGGTTTTGTTCTTAATTTTTTGCTTTGTTTTGTTTTAATCCTCAAAAGCCAAAAAGAACATTAGGGAAATTCCTGGAAACTTTATTCTGGGAAAATAAAATGAAAATGACAAATATCAGCTCTTAAAAATTTACAGGGAAGAAAGCAGGAAGAAAAAGCAGTAAGGGGTGTAGTGGTGAGAAGTGTACACACAGACATGTGTGTGTGTACTTGTGAGAAAAGGTATTTCTGAGATATTTTCCTGACAGTTTCTGTTATTGTACAATCAATCTAGTGATTTTTTTCACTAATAGAAAAATTTAGGCCATCTAACTCAACTGTCTATTCTTTTTCACACTATTTTTTTAACATTTGCTTTCTTTTATTTCACATTGTTTACTTCTTAACTGACACACTAATTTTATTGGAATTCCCATACACTAAGTCATGATATGAGCTTTGAATTGGCAGTTGGAGTGAAGTTCAGGGGAAAATTATTAATGTGGAGAAAAATAAGTTAAGTGCTCAGATTTTGGCTTTGCTTTTGCCAAGCTTGCATGTAACAACACAAATCCTGCATTTCTGGCACTGTGAAATGATTTCTTTTCTCCCCAAGTCCAAAAGAGAGAAACTGTCTGAAGCAGATGTGATATCTCTCCTGGATTCTAACTCCTGGAGTTTTGTGGGATTTTTTTTCCTTTGGGGGAAAAAAAGGAATCTAATTCCTATTGCTTGTGAGGAAAGGATAAGACTCTGTAATTCGACATGCTGAACATGTCTGGATTAGTTATATTGTCTTGCAGCAGCTGAGTATTGCCAGCTTCTGGGAGCTGCATTCTGCACATCATGATGAACACGGTCTCCCTTCCTGCCTTTGTGTTCTACACTCCTGTCTCCAGTTTACTGTTTAAGCACTACCCATCACAGGGTAAAGGGAAAAGCAGAGATTTGCAAGACTGCTTTTTATATTTTAGGTTACTTGGTTTTAGGTTAGTTTTGAATAGCAAAGTAGCCCCCATTCAGAGGGAAAAGAAAAAACCCCGCTATATACATACATACATGCATGCATACATACATACATACATACATGTATGTGTGTTAAAAATATAGATGCCATTCAGTTCCTGTCAGCCACAGTGTCCATAAGTTTTCCTCCTCCACAGGAAGGCTTCCCTCGAAGGCAGATGTCTGCAAGCAGGAGCAGCCAGCTGCCTCGTGTGCAGTCATTCACCCCTCAGTGCTTCACCTCCCTGGAGGTTAGCTGTGTTCTGAGCCTCTCCCAGTTCAGTCATTCCTCTTGGAAACTGCCTCTGCCTTTGGGTTGTACCTGCAGAGTGCCAAAAGCATCCCAGGCTCATTCCTGCACGTTGGGATCATGGTCTTTTGCTTACAGCACCACCAGGCTAGGAAAAGCTGTGTTGTCTCACTGGGAACAGAAAGGTCACAAGTGCTCATCAGACCTTCTGATTCAAAGCCTTTCAAGCACAAGCATGGGATACTTCCCAGTTATTTTTGCTGCTTTGTATATTCTTCTGCAGTGATTGTGTACTTGTCACAGATCTGTAGTCTGCTCAGTCACTCACAGCACACTGAGTGGTCATTGTTGACATCTGTTCCAGGGAGCAATGAGCAGATGTGGGAGAAGGAGGTGAAACACCTCCTGCTAGAGCTGGAGCAGGTGGCCTGAACATGAGATATCTCTCTGTTGGCTGTACAGGGAGTGGAGCTTTGGCATCCTGAAGCCACAGATGGGCTGACTGCACTCACCTGAAGTTATGGCAGATACGAGGTTACAGCAGCTAAGAAGTTGGGATGGACAGGTAAGTTCACTCTAATTACCTGAACACCTTTCTAGAGGATCAAAGTGTGGCCTCCAAATGCTTCTCTGTGAAAATCTGTGCTGCTTGCTCCCCAGCATTCATTTCTGCCTTTGGTGGGACTGACCTGAGACAGCAAGTGCAGGAAGGGTCAGATTGAATGATCAGGTACAAGGCCAGGGGGACAAAGGAGGGGAGCAGGGGAGACTCCCACAAGTCTCCTTCCAGTTCCCTGCTGGAAGGCAAGAGGGTAATTGGCTGAGTTCAGGGCAAACACTGTCCTTATCTGAAGCAGCCAGCAGCAAGGGCTTCACCTGCAGAGCTGCTGTTCCCTCTCCCCATCTGTGTTTGCAGCTGCAGATGTTTCAGAGTGATTTTATACTGTTATTTCGGCATCTTTGATCCCCCTTATCTGAGTCCAGTAACACTTGATGGAGTGTCCCTGACCTCAGACAGGTTCATGTGAAACCTGTTTTGCTCTTATCTGCCCAAGACTAAGGAAGCATAGGCTAATATATGTGTTAGCCTGTTGTTTTTCTGTGTGTGAAGGGGAGCAAAAGTGGATTCAGATTCAAACATGAAGACCAAGTTGGTCAAAGTTCAGTGTAACCTCTGAAAAGAGGTGCCAAACTTTGGAAATTCAAATCTGGATGCATTCCAACTTCAGTTGGAACAGGAGGAGAGGAATAGATTTAACACAATTCGTTTGGTTCCATCGTCTTTCACTGACTCACTCGGGGTGTTTTTTTCGGGAGATCAGTGTGATCATGCATGGCAGGATGCAAACAGCTGGATATTCATGTTTACCCACAGCCCCAGGAAAAAAGATGCTTTTGTGCCCCATTCCCAGGGTTGGTTCTAAGCTCTCTTACATGAGGACAGCTCTTACAGGAACTGGGAGCTGTCCTGATTTATTCCCTTGGGTCCCTCATACCTTAAACGAAGCACCAAATTACATTGGAAGGTAGTTTAGCAGGTAGCAATGACAATTTGTTTGAACTTCTCACTGGTTCACTTTTCTGTATCACAAAAGACTTCAGGGAACGACTTGAACTCTCTCAAAGTGACTTCAAGATGTTTCCTCACTTTGCAGTGAAGGCTTTAAGCCAAGCCTACACACTCCAGGCACGCTGAACTAGAGTCCGGGGCTGCGGGCAGGTGGTGTCAGTGCGAGGAAACAGAGATGCTCCTTTTGCAGCATGGAAGAGTCAGTGCTGTTTGCCCACTGCAATCCCTCATCCGGAGATGCTGCCAGGCTCAGGTCCCAGCTGGCTTCCCTCAGAGACCCGTGAGCCGAGCTGGAAGGGCAGGAGCGGGGCTGGAGCAGCCCTGGCAGGCTCTGGAGCGAGAGCCGAGGGCTCCTGGAAGTAGGGAACGCAGGGAAGCTGTGCTGCGGGGACAGGGAGTGATGGGGAGCACCTTGCACCTGTCTCGGGAACAGCACAAGCGGGGAAATGTGGTCGCGGTGTGTCTGTAAGTCCGTGACCGTCCTGCCACCATTGCCAAGCAATAATGAGGGGGAAGACGGTGAAATCGAGCCTCTTGTCCGGGAGGGAGGCGCGAACGGCTCGGAGAGGGGTGGGGAGAGCCGGGGAGGGCGGGCGAGGTGCAGCCGGCTCTGAGTCAGCCCGGCCGCGCGATGTGCGCCGAGGGCAGTGCCCGGCGCGGCGCCGCCGGGAGCCCGCGTCCCTCCCGTCCCTTCCCGTGCCTTCCCCGCCGCCCCCGCGCCCCGAGTGCCCGCGGCCGCTGGCCGGGCCGCTCCGCCCTCGCCCTCCCTCTCCTCCCACGCGGGGCAGGGGCAGCCCCGAGGGCGCCGGGGGGGGCCGCGCCGGCAGCCGGGCCCGGCCGCACCATGTGAGGCGGCGGGGCTGCCCCCCGGCCCGAGCCGCGCTGTCCCGCACCATGAGGGACGGGCATGCGGGGCTGCACCCACGCCGCGCTCAGGTAGAGCCCGCGCGGCTCCTCCGCCTCCTGTCCTGCGTGCTCCTGCTGTGCGGCGCCGAGGTCGCGGCTCTCGCCGACTTCTCAGGTACGGGCGGGCACCGAGCGGCGGCTCCCGGCTGCGGGGGCTCGGGGGGCTCCGGGGGGCTCCGGGGGCCGGGCGGGGCCGGGCGCGCCGCGGGCAGGGTCCGGCGGGGCTGTCAGACCCCGCAGCGCCCCGAGGGGACCGGCGCGTCCGGCGCAGCGCCGCGGGCTCCCTGCCGGAGCGCGCGCGGGGCCGCGGATTCCCGGAGCGCTCCGTGCTCCCTTTGCGGGGCCGGGGCCGGGCCTGCACCCCGGGCAGCGCGGGCCGGTGTGCCGAAAGGAGGCAGGAGGAGGAGAGGGTTAAGGGCTGCCGGAGGGGCCAGGTGGGCAGGGACACGGGGAGCGGAGCTGTCGCTGCGCGGTGGGAACGCTGGGCGTGGAGCGGCCAGGGCCTGACCAAAAGTGCGTGGAAGTCCCTGGAAAGGTTCCCACTTTCTCCTGGAGACTTGGAGTCCGGCCCTGAGGGAGCGAACAAGTGCTGCCCTCCTCTCTGCTGGGAGGGAAGCTCGGAGCATGAGAGGGGTGGATGGGGGGAGTCCCTTCCCGGGGAGCAGAGGCACCCGCTGCCGCCCAGGAGTCACAGATCTCTGCGAAGGTGCTGCATCACTGCAGGAACTGGGAAAATATCCTTGTTTCCATCAAGATGAGGAAGCTGTCTCTATTCTTTGTAACTTTCACTCTTGTAACTTTTCTGGTGCTCCCGGACATCCCACTGCTGTTATAAAGTCATTTAGAAGGGTTGTTTCTCTCCTCTCTGTGTGTCACAGCGAGCGCAGCATATTCCTGGCAGTTGGAAGCTTAAGGAACTGCCTCTAGGGCAGAAAGCAAACCTTTCCCGTATTGAACAGAGCAGAATTTCCCAAAAGCCAGTCGAGTGCACTGGAACAAAGTTAATATATAATTAATAGCCAATATGTGCTGTTATGCATTTTAATATAGTTCGTGTTGATACAGTTCAATATGCTGGTCATGGTTCTGCAGAAACTATTTCCTCAGCGAAATACAGAAAAATACAGTTTGTAATTTTTTAAATTATGTCCAGCTCCACAAGCCCAACAATTTCTAAGCAAGCAGCCATGAAATATAAAGACCAGAATTACGTACTTGGATAAGCTACATTTCTCATATTAAATTCCTTTCACATATAAAAGGCTCTTAAATGCTTGCTGTCTCATTCTTTGGTGGGTTTTTTTTGCTTAACTGCTGGTTTGGGATGTTAGTTTTGGAATCACATGGTGGTTCTCCACAATAACATAAAACAAATGTTCACATTTTCCTTTTCAACTAGCTACTGAGTTAAAAATTATCCCTTTATGTAGGAAAGTTCCTCTCAAAAAAGTCTGTTCATTTTTAAAATGATGTTATTTAGATAAGGTTATCCAAGATAAAATTCAGAAGTACTGATGTCTTCAGTATTCATTGTGCACTGAGTTTTCCAAATAGGTGGAATGACCAGAGAAAAAAGCTGTCTCACCCCGGAGATCAGTATTAAATATGACATGCAGACGTTTCAGTAAATAAAATGTAGAAAAGGAAAGCAGACTCCAGAATTCCTACCAGACTGGGAAGCTCCCAGGTCTGAACAAATTCTGCTCACATTTTAATTATAACATGGAGATCTAATCTAGAATGACAGAAAGGACCAAAATGTTACTGTAACCTTTAAAAAAAAAAGTATGCAGAGCACAGGGAGAAGTTTTTAGCTGCTCCAAAAGCTGGTGCTGTGTCCCAGGAGCTGGCAGAGGTGAGGGGACACCCTGCAGTGCCATCCTCAGGCCGTTTGATGCTGTTAAAGGAGTACAAGCTCCAGAACGGCAGCTTGCAGAGGAGTCTGTGGAGTTGCTGATTTCCCTTCTTTGCTCCCTCCCTCGGCAGGAGCAGCACCTGGATTTTCCTGGACTCTGCTACAAACCCGGCCCGTTCCAAGTGCCTTGCAGCTCAAAGTGCAGTGAGGCCTCTACCCCAGAGCCCAAACTCTTTTCCTCTCTCCTCCTCTGCTCACCATTCTGAGAGCTTCCAGAGTTCCCTCCTGCCCTGCTGCCAGCCTCCAGCACCTGCCCGTGTAATTCCTGTTCCTCCCCTAATGCAGGTCTCAGTTGTGCCAGCAGTTCCACCTTGCCCAGAGCCCTTTGTCCATCACCCGCCCTCGCTGTTTGTCTGTAACCACCCAGGGATGCTCCCTCTGGGATCTGGGGGATGCTCTGGAAAGGAGAGCAGGGAGCAGCGTATAGGGAAGGGTTATTACTAATATTTATAACTTTGTATTTGGGGTCTGTATCCTTTCTACTACTGACAGCTGCAGGTTCTTGCTCTCATCTGTCTAGCTTTTAACGATGAGAAAAAAAATCTGTCTATTTTGTTGGCTTTTTTGTTTGGTTGGTTAGGTTTTTTTAAGTGAGACATTTCTTCACTGTGCAATAACATTTTGTGGATTGGTATTTTCTAGGGGAGAAAAATGGTCTGAAATAAGACACCAGCAGCAGCTCAAAATTCAACTCTGTGAGAACAACTCAATTGTTTCTCTTAATGGAAATAAGAGTTTCTCTTATTTTGGCACAATAGTTTCTCTTATGTTGACACAATAAAGATCTGCATAATCAATGTTTTTCTGGCAGCTTGAAGCAATAAACAAGAAATTTAGATGTTGGACTCGATGATCTTGCAGGTCTTTTCCAACCTTAATGATTCCACAAATCTATATTTATTAGCTCCATTAGTTACTGAAAGTGGAGAAGTGCTCTGAGGTCTGCAGTCCTCAGTGTGATTAATTTTTCAAAGTGGAATCCAGGTATTCATGCCCAAATTTAAACTGAAAGAAGAGAGATTAAATCCACAGTTCTGTCCTTAGACCTTCATGAATATGACAGTGGTCCTACAAATGGAGAATTTTCTTCCCCTCATGCCTGTTCTTCAAAGCACACCTTGTTAACTAAAATTCTTCTTTATTTTCTGAGTGATCACTGGTATCTTTCACAGTTTGGACCAGGTCCCATTGCAGGGGGCTGCTGTGAATTTTGCTGGTTCTCCAGTCCCTGAGCAGCCTGGGCTCTCAGGACAGTACCAGAGGAGCCATTTCTCAGGACATCAGGGCTTCAGGACATCAGGACAGCCACTTTTCAGGACATCAGGACAGTCATTTCCTCACAGCTCCTCTGTGTTCAAGGGCTGGTTCCCAAAGCAGGCCAAACAAGATTCTGCACACCCAGCAGACTCTTCCCAGTGTTTCACACTGTGGGTGTCCCAGCTTCTGAGAGAGAGCTGGCTTGGCTGGGATGGTGGCACTCTGTGGGACCTTCCAAGAGCAGGGATCCCTGCTCCTCATCTTCCTCATGCCCCAAGAGCAGGGATCCCTGCTCCTCATCTTCCTCATCCCCTGCTCTCCATCCTGGAGTGGGAAAGGCCCCTGCTCTCCATCCCATCCCCACTCCTTCTCTGTCTGTGGGACCTTCCAAGAGCAGGGATCCCTGCTCCTCACCTCCTCTCATCCCCTGCTCTCCATGCTGGAGTGGGAAAGGCCCCAGCTCTCCATCCCATCCCCACTCCTCCTCCCACCTTTTCCCCGTCTGCTGACAGTGAACTGACCCCTTCTCCATCCAGGAACAAACTCCTTCTCTCTGGGAACACTGAGGAACATCCATTCACCCCTTTCTGTGCTCCTTCCTCCCTTTGCTGTTCTCCTGCTGCTCTGAGCTCGGGCTGGCCTCGCCTCCTTGGCTCGCTCTGCACTCAGTCTCCCTTTCCTTACCTGAGTCCCAGCCAGGTTTTCTGGGCAGCTCTCAAGCAATGTGCCTGTAACTGAAGATCAAAAATGAAGTAATTGTGATTGCATAACTGGGGTGAGGAGTGACTTTCTGGACGTTAACAGAAAGCAGCCACTGCTCAGGGGTAGAACATTTTAATCTCTGTCCACTGGTGTCAGGTTTTCTGTCTTTTCCTGCAAAACAGTTCAGACAGCACTGAGCTTCACTTTAACTCCACAGACTTGGTCTCCTGACCCAACCACAGGAACAAGTGGATCTAATGAAAAAGCAAACCAGTTCACCCAAGAAATGTAATCTGCTCCTGTGACCTCTCTGCATTAAAAGTTTCCATTAAGTTCTGTGGCATTCACCCATCCCAGATTCCCCCAGGTAAAAGGAAAGCAAACAAATGCTTTGTTTGTAGTAATGTGGCAGGATCAATCACTACCAACCACAACGATGCAGAGGTTTTTCTGTTGGCTTTGTGTTGGTCAGATGAAGTCCTGTACAAATTTTCTTGAGTCCGTTCTGTTGACTCACCGTGGCAATTGTAGCATGTTCTTCCAGCAGGATGCTTAAAGAAGTGCTGCAAGGAGTGATGCAACGATGCATCTTCTCAGCACTGCCTTGTCAAAGTCAAGTGTTCATTGCTTCATTAAAGAAAAGCATTTCATGTTAGAAATGTGTTTCATTTCAGTAATGTGTGAGTTAAACCTCAAAGTCTGGTTTAAAGTTTCCCTGAGTGAAGTGGGCTCTGGTCTGGGATTTGTTCTGTGGAATAAAGAGGTGTGTGTCAGAGCAGAGATTTTAGTTTAGATCATAGTGCTGAGAAACCCAAGGTTTTTTTTCAGGCTTTTTCCTGCAGTTCTTTTTGCCTTTCTGAGGAAGTGTAACTTATGAAAGCACATTTCAGGTGTGCTAATATTTTTTGTTAAATCCACTGATGAATTAAGGGATGGTGTGATGCCCTTGCCCCTACAGATGTTGGGGAATTCAGACACAAGACACAGAACTCGAGTTCCTGAGCTCCGCTGCTCAGAGTCCAACACGTTTGAGTCCATCAGATTCTCACAATTTGGGGCAGAACTCTCTCTGTTCCCCTGGCAGATTGCTGGCACCTGACACCCCATATGCTATCTTTATTCCAAATAAATAGCAGGGATTGGCTCCCCTGTGCCTTCCTGCTCCATCTGCTGCTGAATCCTTCCCAGTGAGGCAGAGCCCTCAGCCTCACCTTTACTGGGGAAAGGCACTACAGACTGTT